ACATGAACCCAAACCAAAGAAAGCGTCGTATAGAAAACGCGATGATCGAATTAAACGTTTGGTGAACGCTTATGATACGAACCATTTGGATGAATATTTGAATAGCATTGCAGCAAATGTGAAATTGATTACTCTGTACTCGCGGATATATACGACAATTTGGCCGAAATTGCGGCCGAACAAAGAAAAACTGAAGAATCACATCAATACTGTCAAGAATCTCTCGAGATACGACTGGAACACAAGCTATGTGATGTATTTCTCTCGTATGTAAATATGGGCCGCTTAAAAAATAACCATGAAAAAAAATCATGAATTTTACAATCGTAAGCTACTGATCTCATTGCTTTCTCATTATCAATTGAAAAAAAAATGACATGAATACCTCTTTTAGTATTCAACACTGATATGTTCAGTGAAAGTGACAATTGGCTAAAAATCGCATCAATCTCATATGACATCATTCATTGTTCGAATCGACATATTCTGACGCCAAAGTACCACTTGTTGGGGAATGAACTCTTTCGACATGACGTTCTGCACAACTGCTCACAATCACAAACCGTTTGGGACACACATGTGGCACAGAAGACAGAATTCGTTTATTTTTCAATTGATTCACCGTCATCTGTACTTTCCCACAATGATACACTTCTATCGTTTTGTTATAATGTTCGATAGCATCGTTGAGTTTTTCTTGGATTGTTAAGATATTGACAACGGTTTTATGCACTTTTACAAGTGCGATCCTACGTTTTGCTGGAAACTTTTGATATAAATCAATAGTTTTCTGAAGCGCTGACAGAGCGCTATTATAATTGCACTGTGAATCACATATGATTCCCATACAATGATAAACAGTGGCACTATCTGGTTCGATTTCTGACGCCTCCCCACAGAAATGTATATAGAGAGAAATTTGGAGCCAGCTCTCATCTCCACAGACCGTAGACACTAATATCTGTCACGGTCGATGATGGAGTCAATAGAACTTCACAGACTGTGACAAAATGACAACATGGTCTTTTGACTCCGACACGGACCGCAAGGACCCTAGCAGAAGCCAAAACGAACCGAGATTTTCAGGTCCGAGTTCGGTTCAGTTCGATTTCGGTCTCTGGTATTTAGTAGAAACCGCAAGAGATAGAGATTTTCCCAACTTGATCTATCAATTTGATTCAAAAGCAATCATGTCTAAGATGACAATACCTTCCAACCAATAGATCGGCTAAAAAAACATCACCAGATGTTCACAAAAGCACTTAGCGGAAGTCAAATAATTTTTAAAGTATTTGAGGCCATGTTGTTGAAAAAATGATAGACTTTCCAGTGTGAACTGTTTCGAAATTTTGCTGAACTTCCGAGCAAGTGTGTAGAATGAATGTCAAAAAACAATCTAACACTGCACTATCGATTCACGAAAAGTACCTCTTCATAAAAAAATCAGATTAAAAAGTTTACCGCCTCGCACAGCAGTCAAAATTTTCACAGTCAAAGTCGAGTATTTTATTCACGTCAAAAAAAGTTTTCGCTGCGCGTCATTATAGCGTAAAAAACATAATCGTGGTGGGAGTTGACGACCACTACTCTCTTCAGGAACTTATACTATTGTCCACCCCCACAGATTTCAGTTGCTTCCGCCGCCTATGACTGAAAAGATAGTTAATAGTCGATGACACGTTCTTAAATTTTCCGTGTTTAACGGACAATCAGCAGTTCGAAAGAAAAATCTCGATGAATAATGTCATTTTAAAGAACTACCTTTCAGCAAACAGAGGAACATACTGAAGCCTACGCCAAGTGGGTCTGCATCTATCTGTTTAGGAGAGTTGCTAGTCGTTCGGAGAATAAGACTTTATGCAAAGAAGCGTTCATTGTCCATAGACTTTCGAGCGATCGAATTTCCTCCACAGTCTCAATGAGCTCCGCTCGTGATGGATGCGCGAGCGGTAGTAAGCTGAGCTCAATGGTGACACTGCGATGAGCGAAGGCCAGATATAAATCTTGCTTATCGCACTGAGCATAGACCAAGCCAATATGATTGTATGTCTGAGCCACATCGTAATGATCGCTAGGTAACATTTCAAGTTGAATATCCAACGCTTTGACGAGAAACTCCAATGCTCGCTCATACTTATCTTGTTGATTAGCGATGACACCCAAATTCATGAGAATGCGCGCAACTTCCGGATCACGCTTCCCGAGAGCGACCTGTTTGAATCTGAGACTATCTTCAAAGCTCCTTGTAGCAGATTGCAAATTTCCTGCCTTCCAATGTAATAAACCGATCTGTAGATGAACGTCTCCGACGGCGAGAAGATTCTTGTCCTTGTACGATAATAATAAACCAAGGGCAATTGAATAATGATCCATTGCTATCTCGTCGTTATCCATTACTTTGTAAACGTTGCCGAACAATTTATAGCTCTTGTAAAGATCACTAGACGATAGCATTGCCATACGATGATTGAGACCCTTCTTGATGTATTCGAGCGCTGAACTATAGTCGCTCTTGGCGAGCTTCACGGCCACGAGTTGATCGTACAGTTCCACACTGTTGATACTGTTATTGACGAGTTCAAGTAGCAATTGCTCAGCTCGATCAAACTGACCCATATCATACAGAATGGCGGAGATATGACTAAGACAAGTACGAGGAGGTAGCTGTTGCTTTATATAGGTGAGTACTGGTGAGTCGGCACAAGTCAAGTGTAGAGTGACAATCCATACCCTGTCTTGCTCATCAAACTTGACATCGATTAGATCGAACACGCTGCCTGGCATGAAAAGTACTTCGACTTCTTCACTAAAGTTGCTTCTATTGCTTATGTCAGCGTACGGTGCCATTTTTGAATCGTTAATACAATTGATGTTCATTTCGATATCGAATACTACTAATTCCACATCTGTTCGATCATGACGTTCAGCATTTGAACGTGCCATCGTCAGTGCTACATCTCGATTTCGACTTGTTGACAAGAAACTATTCACTGCCGTCGAATTTTTAGTGTAAGCCTTCATACGCTGTAATTCTTGGCGGCTGATCGCTTGTCCTCGGTAGACATGAGTTGTTTGGTCAAGTTTCAATTGGCTTTTACGCAATTGTACGTATAAATCACGTATTAAAAAACGCATGGTGATCAGTTGACTCCACTGTTGTTTGCGCAATGCTTCGTTCATAACGGCATAGACAAATGGTTTCTGTGAATAGTAATTCAAAATATTCTCCGCTTTGTAATTACATTCAAAAGTGATCAGCTCTGATTCATTGCTCGCATGTATTTTCTTGCAAAATTCGACAAAATCGTGCAACGACGAATGCATGGCTTCATCGTCCAGACGCGTGAGTAATTCGAGAAATAGTTGTCCATAAAGAAAATCACCATTTTCTATCGACAAATTCTTATGAGTTTGGTCAAGAGCAGCATCACCGATTGGACAATAAAATGTCATCGACACAAACGAATTATCAGAATCTTGTTGAAAGAGTTGAGCTTGATCATGAACAATCATGCTCATTTTCGAACTTAAACTGTTCGACGAACATTGAACCTAAAGCAAGAATAGACTCATTGAGAATTTCCCGTCATCAACTCTATTTTCTTCCGACTAATGGTTGTGAGTTGTTTCGAGCATTCCCCGTGAAAAAAATTGGGTACCTTCACTTTTCAATTCTTAATTTTACGGTCATCTCATTGAGTTACAACTACTGAACGCTACCAATGGCTAGCGAAAATTGAAGCTATCGATTACCTTTGGGTATTGAGCAGTCCAAACTTTGTCATCAACCCGTGCGACGAAATGAATCTTGCTGATTTGAGGCAGATCGTGAATTTTCTCGATCAATCCCTTGCTACCGGGCCCTTCGATGAGCAACAATATTGTGTCGTTCGGATGATCTTCCACATAGGAGATACACGTATCGACTGTGCTGAATATATGAATATGCTTGTTTACAAAGCGAAGATTTGGATCGTCGATCTTGACAAAGGACGGACACGACAGATCACACCAAACGAGAGATGAATATTTCGATTTGTCCAATTCCCGTCGATATTCTTCCGACAGCTCTTCGTCAGTGCGTTTATCGCACTCGTTCAAATTTTCGTTTGAATGCAATAATTCGATCATCGTCATCATTTCTTCCATTGAGAGGTTCTCTCGAAGAGTGGTTGCCGTAGTCACCTCGGTGAGCACGTTTGAGGAAGATCCAGATGATGACGTTGTGGCAGGCGGTTGACTCATAGTGAATGTGTTAGACTGTCGTAGAACGAACAAACAACGTTTTTTTTCTGTTGTTTACCCTTCTCAAGCGCAACTCGTGGCTGAAAGAAAAAAAAAGTCATTTTCTTCACGTTATTCTGATGTTAGTGCAACGTTCTTTTTCTTCCTTCCGTCTTGGCTGTGGCGTGAACTTTGGGACAGGGGTGGCACTTTCTCTTTCCTACCTCCTTTTTTTATTAACAAAAGAAAAGTTTTTCTTTTTCTTTACAACAAAAAAGAGTAAAGATATAATCTATTTTGTTCTTGCTTGAGGGACTCATCAGGTGGCATGAATTCGTTTTACAAATCCAAACGGAAATGGACCCGTTTAGTGTTTGAATAGATCAGCATACACTGACCTAAGTTAAACACGACAACCTGCTCTTTTGCAGCCTAAACTTCAAGTGGAGACATCTACTAGAGATGCACCACCTGTTGCCACTGCACTGGCAGATACCTAATACACGAATGTATTTGAAGCTATGCTGCAAAAGATCAGGTTGTCTTGTTTAGGTCAGTGTATGCTAATCTATTCAGACATTAAAGGGGTCCATTTCCGTTGAGATTTGGAAACCAAATTCAAGCCACCTAATGAGTCCCTTAAGCAAGGACGAAACCGGTCGTGGCTGCTCTCATCAATTATTTCGCTTTAACGGTATCCATCGGATTAAAACGATTGAAAACTAACCGAAATAATTGAATGGATTCAATTATTTGGCATTAACGATATCGGTCTGATTAAAATGATTGCACACTAATCGAAATAATGCAATGAATTCGATTATTTATTTTTCACGGTATCCATCGGATTAAAAAGATTGAAAACTAATGAAAATAATTGAATGAATTCGATTATTTCGCATTCATAATATCAATCTGATTAAAATGATTGAAAACTAATCGAAATAATGCAATCTACAAAGGGAAGAAAAAATGTTCCGCTCAGGATTACGATAAAAGCATCGTGGTTGAGAGGAAAGCAAGAACATCGGTCAGTTTACTGTTTCTTTTTGTTTTTTTATGTTCTTGTCTTGATAAGATGAAAAAAAAAGAAAGCAGAATGATGCAGGAGTTTTTTAATTAGAACGGAAGACAAAATGCCAGAAAAAATAGTTGGACGAGCATTGGTATATTACGTAAGCAAAGGACCAGGTAGGAGAAGGATCCCCCACGATGATGTCAAATTTTTCCGCAGACCATTTTTTAGCATCAATTAGCAAGGCAAATTAATAAATGATGATAAAGGGAAGGGTCAGTCACGAAAATTTCAAAGAAATTTTAAATAATATGCTTCATTTAGAATAGTTAATTAAATGCAGAGTTTAAGTTCGCCCACACGTTTCGTATGCTTTATTTAAATATTTGAGTACTCCTCAGGTATTTGCATTGC